AGAAGACTATATTCGCCTCAAGATACGGAATATTCGAATACTTTATTATGCCTTTCAGGCTAACCAATACACTAGCTTCATTCCAAAGATGGATCAACAAGGTACTCAATAAGTACCTCGACATATCTTGCATCGTATACTTGGACGACGTACTCATCTACTCGGAAAACATGCAACAATACCAGAAGGATATCAGCAATATCATAGGCGTAATACAAGGATCAGGAATGAAGATCAAACCAACAAAATGCGAATTCCATAAAGAAGAAACAGAATACCTCAAATTTATCATCAATCGAAGTGAGGTCAAGGTCGACCCAGTCAAAACAGCAGCACTATGGGATTGGGCCAAACCAAACAACAAAACAGATATTCAATGCTTTATAGGATTCTGCAACTTTTATCGAAGGTTCATAGAGCAATTTAGCAGGCTTGAAAAACCACTCTATAACCTAACCAAGAAAGACAAGAAATGGGAATGGGGAGAAACGGAACAGAAAACATATGATACAATACGAATTCATCTAACATGGGCACCAATATTGGTTCATTTCGACTCAAACCGGAGGACAATGATCGAAACTGATGCCTCAAAATATGTATGCTCAGGCATACTATCGCAACAATGCGAAGACAGAAAATGGAGGCTATTGTCTTACCGATCCAAGACAAGGACCCCTGCAGAGTGTAACTACGACGTTGTAAACAAAGAACTATTAGCAATAGTTCAAGCATTAAAGGAATGGAGGAGATACGTTCTGAACAATGACTATCCAGTCCGAGTTCTAACAGACCATAAGAATCTGGTCCTGTTCATGACTACGAAAGAACTGAACAACCTCCAGAAAAGGTGGATGGAATACCTCAGCAAGTACAACTTCAAAATCGAATACCGACCAGGCAAAGAGAGTGGAAAGCCGATGCTCTCACAAGGATTGCAAGCGACAACTACAAACAAAAGAAGACAAAAGAATCAAATAAAAACCATGAACACTATTACCAAAATCCTACTTCGAGGCAATGGAGGTTATCCAATTCACATCAATGGAGGAAAGGGAAATTGAGAAGGGAAACGAAAGAGACAAAACAATTCAGGCAATAAGAGATGGATTGAAGGAAGGAAAAAAGGAGATGAAAGGAATTTCTCTGGGTTTATGCCAATGGAAGGATGGAAACATGTGGTACAATGAAAAACAATGGATTCCAGAAAAAGAAGAGATAAGGACAGACATCATACGATAACATCACGATATCCGAATGGCAGGACACTGAGGAACGGCTAAAACCACGGAATTCATCACGAGGTCATTCTATTGGCTAGGACTGCGCAAAGATGTCAAACGATATGGCAAAAACTACGACATATGCCAAAAGACAAAAACGGTTAAACATGAACCATATAGATTACTGAAATCGAACAAAGTTCCCAAACGACCATGGAAAACAATTACTATGAATTTCATCACGGACCTACCGGCATCGGAAAATACCGATAGCATCCTGGTCATGGTGGATCATCTGACCAAAATGAGTCATTTCATTCCAGTCAGAAAAGATATCGACACGAGAGATTTTATACAAACATTCTTCCGTGAAGTCTTCCCACTTCTTGGCCTTCCAAAGAATATCATTACCGATCGAGGGATACTATTCACATCAGGACTATGGAAGAAAGTAACGGGAGAAATGGGGATACAAAATAGGCTGAGCACAGTATTTCACCTGCAAATGGATGGACCAACGGAATGGGTAAACGCGATACTCAAATAATATTTACAGGCTTATGTCAATTACCAACAAGATGATTGATACAAACTGCTATCAATGGCTGAATTTGCATACAACAATGGAAAGCAAGAAAGGATTGGCAGGACACTCTTCTTCACGAATTACAAACAACATCCACAAAGTCAGACCACATATCATATGATTAATAGTATAATACCAGACAAAACAGATATGGGAAACCTACATGAGACATTACAATACGAAATGAGTCAAGCACAACTACAACAAAAAGAACAATACGATAAGCACCAAAGACCAGATCCAAACATACAAGCATGAGATATGGTATCGTTAATACCACGCAATATCCATACAACGCGACCATCAAAGAAATTGGACTACAAGAAAATCAGACCATTCAGGATACTGGAGAAGGTGGACAGCGGAGCTTATAAACTCGACCTTCCACCCTCAATGCAAATACACAACACATTCCGCTTCTCACTTCTCGAATTACACTAACAACAAGTTTCTCGTACAAACAATTATTCCTCCTTCTCCAATTGGACGCAATGGAGAACTAGAATATGAGCGCGACGAAATAGTCGATTCTCGTTTCTTCCACAGTCACCTCCAATACCGAGCCAAGTGGATGGAATATTTACCCGAATACAATAAAACTTGGTACTTCGCACACAACTTCGAACACACACAAGATGTCCTCTCAATCTTCCACCAGTGATACCCAGGCAAGTCCGACATAGGTAACTATCATGTTCAACCAAGACAATGGCGAAAGAAAGACTCCCACGCTATTGTAACAACACGAGGGCTGGGGTGATAGCCCCCGCTAAACCACACCGACCAGTCCCGAATACTCATTCATGGGGCCAACCGACGAAGAACTCAGGGAATGGGAAAAACAAGCACAGCATAACGCCATATAATGGACGGTATGCTACGACAATGGATGTTCCACACACTACGGGGACAAGAAAGGCTCAGGATGGTTCCCGAGAGAATACAAAAAGTTCGGTCCGCGCCCGGACCATGCCCTAAAGCACTGGAAACAGTACTTCAACAACATGTGCAAGATGTAAAGGTTGAAGACAATCTCTACGGGATACTATCCACAGAAGGATGCGACAAAAAAGAGTTGGAAGGATAAGATGCCATGGTATGGCAGAGAGCTAGGGCCTCAAGAATGAGGCCCACAGAGGACAGAGTCCAAAACCTATCGACGGAAACAGAACCAGATGTCAGGAGCCTACACAGGCAAATCCAAGGACTTCGGGAACAACTTGGTCAGGCCAAAGCCACAATTTCGGCAAACAACAAAACGATCGCAGAGCTACCATAGCAGAACGATGTTCAGAGGCACACAATCGAGATGGCAAACCTCACTTTGGAAACTGTGAGAGTAAGATGGAGGGAAGCGGACAATAAGTTCAATAGGCTTCAGAGGTCAATGCGCTCAGCTGGACAGGAACTATTGAAGCTTAGGGAAAGAGCCTGATGGGACTCAGACTTTGGGGGAGAGGAGCTAATATCACGAATGTGGCTTGGCGAGGAAAAGGTTTTCACGTGACACCTGATTATGAGTCACAGGTATGTTATTGTTTCACACATATGACTCATTCAAGTCATATGATTTGTTATGTGTGGGATTTGTGATACTTTCGCACATGGCTCCAATATGAGTCATGGGACGTGCGCCTGACGAGTACACCTTGCGGGTATGCCTTGCGCATATGATTTATATTTCGCACATGACCTCGTTATGAGGTCATGGGTTTCACGCATATGACTCAGTCAAGTCATATGATTTGTTTATTTTGTTCTGATTGGTTTATGAGTTTTTGCATATCACCTCGCTATAAGGTCATGGGTTTTGAGCATGCGACCATTTTGGTCACATGGCTAGTTTGTTATGATTTGGTTTTGCACATGTAACCACTTTAGGTCACATGACTATGGGCGGGAAGAGCACTATATAAGGAGGCCGATGCAGCCGAGGAGGATAGGTTCTTCATGCTTTGTTCTAAGTACTTTTCCTACTTATTACTTTAATCAATATAAAAACACCTTCATGATCTTTATCTTTATTGCAACATTATCATTCTACCAAGGAAAGCTCTTCACGAAGAAGAGTTAGAGAAAGCTTACGATAGGCGTTCCCAATAGAAGACAGAGGTCTTGTACTATCGGAAACGTAGACAGAGGCCTAGTACTATCGTAAGTCTAAGGAAAGAAACAGAAGAATAAAAGTATCGTTCCCCATCGCCAAGAACTAACTATCCAAGGGGGGATCGTTACATAAGTTAGCGTTGGGATGCTCTAGATATACAAAATAAAAAAATAAATACAGTTTTCCATGTCCAGATGTGGATTTTCTTTATCTGTAAAGAAGAACAAAAAACAATTCTAATTAAACAGATCATTTTCCGTGGCTAATTTCTTAGATAAAGATTTCCTATTTAGATAATAGAATGCATGGGATATATCAGTGATGCACTTCAAAGGACTTCTACTATTCACTGATATTTTTTACTGATATAGCAGGATTCACAGTTAGGTCCCTATTCTGAAGAGGCTGATGGATACAGCTTTCAAGAATGGTTTGTATCTTTGACTGTTGTTATAACAGAAATGTAGCATTTAAGGACTCTACTATACAGTACATTATACTTATACCAATCCTGTACTGTGCAACCCTTCTGGCTATTTCTCAGATACGGGTAACTCTCCTCAGTCGCTAGGTTAATTAAAACAGGTTACTAAGGAACGCATTGAAAAAGAGCCGATGGTTCCGTTTGCGGGAAATTTCTAACCCTCCAATATCGGCTCAAATCGATGCACGCGACTCTCTGGTAGGAATGAACCAATGAGAGGACAGAACAGAGCACGCGGTCGCTTCTCACACCTAGGCTCGCTGACAAGAAAGTTGACGGCAGCCTATCACTCTCCCCACGGGCACGCGACTCAACACCCCCTTTCGAATCCGACGACGAAAAAAAAGAACTTTTTTGTCGGGAATAGTAGGCAACGTTCATTGATGTGCTGGTACGATGTTCGGGTGTGCCTTGGTACCGTATGAGGAGGGAATGGCGGAAGGCGGAAGGTAATGAAGGTGCTGATGATGTGCATGCGGGCGGGGGAAGACTGTATCTCTTCACCAGACTGCACCTGCTCCATCCTTTCCCCTCCACCTTTCCTGTTATAACAATGGTACGGTAGTGCTTATGCTATGCCTTCCGGTACTCGATCTTGGTGAAGCCTCTCGCATAAACTTTTGCTGTGCATTTCTACCCACCAGTGGCATTGAGCTCGTGCCTCTCGTGCTCATCATCCTGCACTCTCAAACAAAACGCTTGTGGAGAGGAGAACAGAAAGTCTCCCCCATTATCATATAACCCCTCCTGCCCTCCCTATCCAAGATATCATTCTCCCCGGTAAACCGCACCTTTCATACTCTTTAAAACTCTTGTTCTATTTTGAGATTCTCAGTCAACCCTTCATTCATTGTTGTTACGTCAAAGGTTCTCTCATCTCAACCTGTGATACGATATCAAAATGCCGCGAATATTACTGCCCCCGACTCCGCAGCCATCTACAGATATAGCTGCGAAATCTGCCCCGCCGCTCTCTGGGCTTGAGCTGTCCTTTGCTTTGCCTCCGCCTGCTCTGGAGGCCATAGTTCCCTCCGAGGTGGTTTCAAGTTGCTATTTTGATTCATCCGCTTCGATATCCTCATCACTTTCGTCATCTTCGTCATCTCCACCGCCGGGCGGTTACCAGCCATTATCGCCAATGTCGCCCGGAATAGCAGATAGAGATAACACTCCTGCCGATGCTCCAAAGAAACGCCGCCGTTTCCCAGCTCTTGAGGAAGCGAAATCGCAACCACCAGCGCAGAAGCGGAACACTGAAGAAATTACTCTGCCCCCACCTCCATCAAGGACCCGAAAAATTATCCAGATGCGGCCACAGCAGTCTTCTTCATCCAGTGCAAGCAGCGCTGGTGGCCCAAGTCAGTCTACTGCTCTAGAGCCCAAAAGGTCAAGGAAGGCGGTAGCAGAGACTGATAAGCCAGGAGATGATGAGAAACCGACCACAGCTGTCGGAAGGAAAATTGCGAGAAAGACAGCACATAGTTTGATTGAGCGGAGAAGGAGGTTCAAAATGAATGAGGAATTTGGAGTGCTGAAAGGGATGATACCTGCATGCAGAGGTGTGGAAATGCATAAACTTGCTATTCTTCAGGTAATTTTCACCAAAGTTCTTATTGGAAATACGAAGTGTACCAAATAGCTCACCATATCCTTAGTCGAGTATCGAATATTTAAGATATCTCGAAAAATGTGTCGAAGATCTCAAAACATCCAATGCCGCCTCCTCGTCTAATTGCGACGAGGCACATGTTCTGATGCTCCCTCCTCCGCCACAAAATCACGAAGAGAGAGATTCCGAGGACGATTCCGAGGAGGAAGAAGTTGAAGAAGAGAAACAAGCTGAAAAAGTGGAGTCAATTGCTCCCTGCAGTCTCACACCCTCTATGCTCGTCTCTCCCCGCCCTTATCCCCCTCACGGGCCTGCCTCACGCCAGGTCTCCCAACCACTGATAGTGTATCCACAGGGTCACCAACATGATCCAGTAGATACCGAGGCGACACACGCACTCTTGCTACTGGCTGATGGGAGGATGGGCAGTAACGACGAACCTAGAGGCAGCTGCGGCAGCAACAGCAGAGGAATGAGCGTTAAAGACTTGTTGAGTCCTTAAACCTAGAGAAGGGGCGGGGGGATAGTCGGCGTTTTCCTTTTGTTTTCCTTTTGTTTTTTCTTTTTGTTTCTTTATAGTTCGCTGTATTGTTTGGGTGTGCCCTTTTCATGGCACGGTAATATGACATTTCTGTTAGCTGGTTGCTATTTCTTTCTCCAGTACTAGGGATATATACGAGTAGGTCGGCTGTCGGCTCTTGCGATTGGGTGGGGCTGGTCCCTGGCTCATCAGTTTAGTGCACTCTCGCATGCCATTTATCATACAAGAATTTAGATATAGAGAACGGTTATTATAGAAGTATCATGGTATCGCAATTGTGATTGGGGAGTTTTTCTGAAGCTGGCTTGTGGAAAGGCCGTCCCGGTCAGCGCCATCTTGCTACAATCCTGCGCGTTCGCAAGGAGGCCAAGCCAAACATTGGACACCAAAGTCATCCGCCTAGTGTCACAAATAATCACTCGTTGAAGACTGCTGGTAAACTACAGCATCGTTGTTGCGACCTTATCTGTAACCTTGTTTTCCCCAACAAGGCTTTGTCGTTCAAGTTAGGCATTCATCACCAGAGTTTACCACTCACCCGCCTCCTCTCAGCAGAACTCCCTTCACAATTGAAATTATGTCCACCATAAGTCTCTAAGCAGGAAAGAAAGCAGTGACACTAATAAAGACATCATCCCAGAACCTTCGTTGGCTGCCCTATCCATCGTACCCACGCTCGGGCACACCAGGTCATGAGCTAGCATAATTCCACCAGATCGGCTTTTACTACGATATATCGGGCGGCAACAAAACAAATGAATGGGGAACATCCCCTCCCACCTGCTTTCAAAGGAAAAATTAAACATTATCCAGACCTTATCCTTCTTCGATCTGCGGAACGTTTGCTTTGCTTTTTAGTTTTTTCTCCTCCCCCATCCCACTTACAGGAACACGTTGCTCATTGGAGAGAGGTACGGTAGTGTGTGTGGGTGACCGTGGATGGGGGAGGGTTCAGGGAAGGGAAGGGAAGGGGAAAGGGAATCCCTGGGTATGATACAGTATTATATCATAATTGTATAGGCCCACATCAAACCCCCAACCTTCTAGCATACTCGAGTACATACAATAGGGTACCATCCTTCCAAAGACACTGTTGTCGTCGTCGTTCCGATGGCAGCTCTGGGTGTGCGCAGTGAAGTGCAGACAGCCCGCCCGCTCGCTCGCTCGCTGCATTGTACTGTGCTGTACAGTACAAGTACGAGTACAGCAGAGTATCATCACTGCATACATACCCGTGCCATAGCAAACCATAGCATACCCTCCAAAGCCGTCTCGCGACCTGCACACATATAGTACATACGGTGCCCCACCTCACATACATACCGATCAGGCTGTAATCCTGAGAATCGTACATGCGGTCACCATACCGCCGTTCGCATTAATCATGGCCCTCCCTATTTTCCTTTTTATTTTTTTAATTCTCTTCATTTTTATTTTTATATATATTTTTTTTCATTACAGCCACTGCACTTGCGCCCGACCGACCGACCGCCAAACTCGCGATAGATACTGCTACTACTACCATACGCGGAGAGGCATACCGTACATACAGGCGCACTGGTAGGCAGGCAGGCAGGCAGGCAGGCAGGTAGATAGGTAGGTAGGTAGGTATCATAGGTAGGTAGGTAGGCGACACACGCACCCACGAGTATTGCCGCCCCATCGGTCCGACCGACATCGCACACTCGAGTTGTCGAGCTGGACCGAAATCGCCGCCGTCATCTCAAACTGTTCGCACTCGCTGGCTCGCTGACCGGGACGCGCACGATCGAAATCGGGATCGGATCGCATCGGATCGGAAAGCTGTCATGCTGAACGGGGGAAGAGTTAGGGTCCCCGTGGGGCCTGGGCTATCGGGTACTGGCGGTGGTAGGAGTGGAGGGAGGAGAGTGCCGGTTTGGGATCCGTTGCCGCAGATGCTCAGTTCGGACGGACCGGAGCTTGAGCTTTTGAGTATTAGGATCGGGTACGGGGAGCCCTGGGAGGGAGGGGGGTTGAGGTTGAGGTATCATACTGAGTGAGTTGTTGGTTTCTTTCTTCCTGCTTGTCTTTCTTTGGCTAGCGAGCGAGGGAGAGGGTTTTAAGGTTTAAGTGTTTAAGAGCTTGTTTATTTTTATTTTTCCTACTCGCGAACAGATTGGAGGCGGATGTCTTGGATCACGCTATGGGATGAGCCGTTTTTATGTTCTATTTTTTTTTACTTTTTCTCCCGTTTTTCCATCCTGAGTCTCCAGAGTGAGAGTTGGTTGGTTGGTGGTGGTGGTGCTGGATGGCGGGACCTGGGTAACTCAAGTACCGTATTCATTTCTCATTCGCAGGGCGGAGTGTGTTTCCTTCGAAGGCCCCATGAAGTTAGGCATGCTCGTGCCGCTGGAGGAACTCCTGTTAAAGGATAACCAAGACGGGAGTATATCCGTCTTCTTTCGGAGGCAGTTTAGGCGGAAGGTGTGTATGTCCCTTGTCGCTATTGGGCCGTTCATATTAAGTAGTCTACTCTCATGAAAAAGAAAAGAGATCTAACTCTGTATCTTTTGTGCCTCTAGTATTACACTTGGGACGAAGGACTCCCACGACACCCAGAGTGCATTCATGCGTTTAAACAGGAACTTAATCAGGAACTGCATATGTGGTGCCTTGTCGCGGGCTATGATGCATTTGCTCGAGCAGCACACTTCGTTAGAAAGGTAGAATATATTACCCTAACCCTCCCCCCCCTCGACCCCTACCCTTAGGGAGAATCCAGCTTAATCGTTTTCAACAAACAGATTAAGCAGGGTCGCCAAGGAATATCCGCCCTCCCCCAACGCGCCTCCGACTTCCCTGCATACGAATCCACCCACCGCCCCCGAGTACCCACCTCCTCCCCTCGCAATCCCCCACCCATACCCGAACCAACGGTACGCTTCCAAGAAGATTTGGAGCCAGATAGGTCCCCACCAAGGTACCGCAATCCAGGCCCCTACTTCCCGGATAGAGAGCCAGATGCACAATCTTCCCTTCCCCGCCGCAGCTCATACCCGCGGTTTCCACGTGCTCCCCCGCCGGCACCGAATCCGCCCCCGTTGGGACCACACAGAGCGAACCCGCTACGGGGCGGGGGGGAAGATAGGGGCTATGACTACGACTCTGATGTCCCTATTCCTGCGCCGCCGCCGGCCCCTGCACCTCCGTCCGCAGCTCCGCCGCCACAGCCGGTTCCACAGCGGTATGCCTCTCCGGCGCCAAAAACGACAAGACAAATATTTGCAATGGTCTACAGACGTTCACCAATGGATGCGGGAGTTGAAATTCGACCAGCGAGTATTAGCTCTAGCTTTGAAGGATTGCAGGGACAGGCGCGGTCGCACTGGAATCTACTGGAGCTGAGACTCTTTGGGAAAGTGGATGGGTTGAAGATGAATCTTAGCTCGCAGAGCGATTTGGAGGCGTATGTGAAGTTATGTGAGGGCATAGTCAGGTTGATTGTCGAGGTTGAATAACGGGGCGTTCGATGGAGTTTGGAATTGAAGGGAGAGGGGATGGTAATGTAATGGTTTTAATAATCGTCAAAAGGTGCTGGAGTGACTATATAGCGGTAGTGCGGGTGGTAGGAGTGAGTGTAATTAATGGGTTTTCATGAGAGATCACTCGGTGGTCAATGGTCAATCGGCTTTCGCGCGAGTGTGGACTATTATCGAGAGCTCCCTATGCCAACTGAGGGCAGTTTTTTTCTTTCTCTTTCTTTCTTTTTCCAACATCTCCCACGATAACGACAGCCGCATTCTGATGTTCTGCGACAACCAACCAGCACCTCTCAACAGAACCGAAGCACCGATACGGTAGGTTCATCACAAAGATCCACGCGACGATGGAACGGCATGACGCACTCTACTCGGTGCCCGAGAGGGAAGATCTTCAAAATGCAATATATAATCCACGGCTCCACCTCCCCATCACCACAGCAGTGCAGCAAGGCACAACACGACCAACCCCCCCACCGACTAACGAGCGAGAACGAAATGCACCTCCCAAAAACCCCTTACCCAACACCCCCGGAAATCCGACACGCCTTCGCCCTCCTCACGCGACGCAGCACCTTCAAGACCTTCTTCGACGAGCACGTCTCTGTGATGGTGGACTGGACAGCAATGGGCGTCGATTATCCTCTCGCGGGGCACTGGCACTCGCGCGAGGAGTTCCTGCGCAACGCTTACGAGAAGTTGCATTCCATACTCGACGAGAACGGGCTCGTGCTCGATGTCGTCGACGTGCATGGGGGTGGGCTTTACGAGTGGGCAGTGGTGGAGTTGAAGGGGAGGGGACGGTGTCGGAATGGTGAGTGGATTTGAGTACACATGGGGAGGGGGAGGGCTAACGGTGGATGTGTGGGTGGGTGTGGGGGTTATAGGGATGAATTTTTCCAATACTTATGCTTGGATCGTCAAATTTGGGGAGGATAGGAGGATTGTCAAAGTTACGGCGTATTTGGATACTGGATTAGTTGCTCGTGCTTTTGCCGGGAATTCCCAGACGGTCCTCTAAAATGGGGTTTAAATCTTTGGTTCTCCTTTGTCGAGTTCTCAGTGGTATGATGATGCTATCGTGATTGAAGTGCTACCTTCTTTTCTTGCGCGCGGTTCTGGTTGTTGGCTCCCCGCCAGTGATATTCACAGAAGTGTGTTCGCGAATGCATGATAATAGTGTTTGCTTGCAAGGAGGGTACACGAACAGCACTGCCATCCACATCCGACCCCCAATCCTTCCCTAAATTGAAGGATGTGTATATATGTGCCCGGTTATCCCACCCGAACTTGCCTCCTGTGTGTCTGTTGTGATACCTCAGAGCTGGAAAGCCTAGTTGGTGTATCCCGTCTTCTTATGTTATGATATGTTGTGTCGTTATGGAGGGGTTATGTGGCCTGGGGGCGGGGGACTTTGGGTTTCGGGTTGGATCCGGTGAACGTAAGCTATTGCTCCCGCTCGTGGTAGGTCATTCTATCATACTGGAGCGGTGGTAGCCACGACTCAAGGGTCGAAGTGTGCTTGGTTTACCTATCTGGTGTTGGGGCGTGAGTGATTATTGGTGAATATGGGTGGGTGGAGGAGGGGAGTTCGTGGAGCTGAGCCGGTGCCTACTGGGAGTTTGTTGCGGTTGCGAGAGGGTGGATCATATGAGGAGCTTCAGGAACTGCGATCGTCATATTCTAGCAATTGGGGAAGTAGTAAAAGATAATTTTTCAGTTTGGTTCTCAATAATAATAACTCGGCGTGTGGAATTATTATAGATAACTACCGTATGCAGGAACCATGGTCCCAAGTGTATTTTATTTCTCTCCACAAGCTTCAGGAGATACACCGGAATCTACCCCACAACAGCTTCATACAATTGGTGAGCACAAAATGTCACAGTGCTATCATAATCCTAAAAACCAAATATACATATACCCCCACCCTCCCCGAACCCCCTAAGCCATCATTGATACCCCCACTCGTCACAGGGATCACCTCCACCCCTATCACTCATCGCCAACTCCTCGACAAGCGAGCCACTCACACAACTCACCAATCGGCTCAAAAACTCACTTAATAAGCTTATCGAACTTATCATGCAAGATAAACGAGAAAACTGCACTGCAACCTGTAATCCACAGGTCCACGCCTGCGGGGGTCAGTCAGGCTATCCCTGTTCCCTAAACCTCGTGACGGCATCCATACCGCGGCTGGTTATGGGGGCATCTTCTTGGGCTTTTGCTGCCTCTTTGCCTTTTGAGGAGGAGGAGGAGGCAAGACGGTTCTCCTCTTCCTCCATGGCGGCGAATTGGGCTACGGCTGCGGCGATGAAGGCCTCTTCGTCTTCCTCTCCTATTCCGTATTGCGCTGGTGCTGGCTTCTTCCTGGAGGAGGAGGATGAAGAATCTGCAATGCCGAGCTTTGCGGCTACAGAGTTCCGCGCTGTGTTCCCCTTGGCCCCTATAGCAGTAGTGGTAGTGGTAGAAATTTTCGACTTCCTTCCCACCCGAAAACTTTCCCCGACAGCACGTTCCCACCTAGCAACCTTCCTCTCCCCCCACCCTGCGATCAAGCCCATCTCCTCCCCCTTGGCATTTATTGCCCCCCTAAGACTTCCAAAGTTTGCTACGAGACTAACCGCATCCACGCGGTTAACACTGCGGACTTTGGTAACGCATTCCACCATTCTCGCACTGAATTCCTCCTCTTTCCGTCCCATGATTGTCGTAGGGGCGGCTTTTTCAAGGCTCTTGTACGCTTCCAAGTACCGACCCGCCTCCTGTGCTGACCAGCATAGTACCACGGTGAGGTTATTTATCAGGCTGGTCTTTGTCAATTCTTTCAAGGGGTCCGTGGTGGAGACGGTGTCGATGTCCACCAGAACCAGTAGGATGCGAAGAGGTGTTTGCGGGAGTTTTGGGACCCGGGTGTAGATATACTCGGGATGTAAGCGGTGATACTTTAGACTTAGGAAGAGGGCTGGCGTGGCACCGAGGAGGTAGTCGCTTGGTATGGAGGCGTATTCCCAGGGGACGTTCTTGATGTGTGTGAGAAGCGGATTGCCTTTCTGCTCGTGTTTGACGAAGAGTTAGTTGGGCTGTGTCACGTGGTTTTTCCTTTTCTTCGGTTTGTTGGAACAGATTGGGGGTAGACATGGGCAACGCACCTGCCGGGTCGAGACGAGAATTGACGAGCTTCCCTTGGGAAGTTTCTTCGGGATTGGCTGCTGGATAGGGGTCGAGGAGGCGGCACCAGCACCGGCACCAGCTACGACAGCGGAAGGAGGAGGAAGGCTGAGTGCCACTGATGAAGTGGCGGTGGAATTGTTTAAAGCCTTCTCAGCGGCATCCAGGGCTGCCACCATGGTTTCGTCGTCGAGCAAATCGTCGTCCATATTTGTTTCTTTCACCCTCCCCCTTTCTCCTTATCGACTTCTTCTGTGTCGACTGATCTACTTGTAGAGAGGAGGCCTCGGATTACGCTACGATATGATAGCTGTCCGTGTGAGTTGTTCAAACACCTAGTCTCTCGATTCTTGCTTTCCTTGCGTTGTGAGAATTCGTTGAAACGGGAGCCTGGTTGGGGAATAACTTAGTGTATGGTCTTGGGTGCAAGGCGCAGGTTTTTTTTTTTTTTTTCTCTCTCTCTCTCTCTTCTGTTTCCGTTTTAGGACCGTGGGTGACTCAACTCAACTTACTGTATTACACAGTACCGAGCGCTGGGTGCTGCTGCACTTACCATGTCATCATAGCTTTTTTTTTTTTTTTTTTCCTTCCTTCCTTCGTTTCCTATTTCTTCGTTTATTCTTCACTCGACAAGGCTGGAGGGGGGCTTGATGGATGGAATGAGTGAGTGAGTGAGTGAATGGGGGATATGCTGGTTTATACGTCTGGTTTTGCTCGCATGTGGGCTTTGAGAAACATGCCTCTTCCTTCCTCCCTTTTTTCCACCGTACTGTACGATCATGTCCGCCGCTGGGGTGGATTTGAATCGTAGGGCAAGACCACGAACGTGTCACCTTGTGGACGCATGCTTTGTTGGTGGAGGAAGGCATATCCACGTTCGGATTGGGGAATTTATTTTGGAAGGGGGGTTTCCTTTTTTTTTTCCTCATTCTTCCCTTCATTCCTTCTTTCCCTTGTTCAATGGGTTTGGTTGATGGTGGTGGGGTTGTGTCGTATCGTACAGTACAGTACAGTACAGTACAAGTACCGTCAATGATTTTACATATGGCCAAAGGGTGGCGAGTGGCGGAGAGGGAGGAGTTGAGCACGGCAAAGCGTAACTAAGTTTAAGGGTAAGTTAGCTGGTAGCTATGGATAGGTTAGCCAGTCGGGTGGTATGGTGAAGTTACCATCCATACTCGAGTCATAACGTATAGCACCGTAGTCCATCATATCAAATCGGGGGAAGGCAAGGTACGTAGGCGCAGGGATGAAGGAGGTTGAGAGAGATCTTGGAACTGTGCGGAGTTGTCAATGTATTGTATGAGTACTCGTACAGTAAGCCACCTCCGCCCGCTGACATGAGAGGACGAGCACCGGTCCTTTCCTAACGATAACAGCAATTAACGGACGGACGAGGGGGGTTTCGTGCAGGTGTAAGAGGAATTAATAGCAATGAGAGTCATGGACAACAGAATGGCCAAAGAGTTACAGTATCCGTAACCGCCGTCACTCCGTTCACACAATGGCCCTTACCCATTCCCTTCCAAGTATAAGTACAGTATGATACCGTAATATGATACTTGCTCGTACTGTACACGGGCCCGGGAATGCTCCGCTAGCCTCCTCTTTCCACAAGTATGATTCGATGAGGAACGAGTCGTGATAATGTCGACAATGTCCCTAGAGGCACACTCGAAAACAAGTTATCTGACGAGCTCCGGTTGTCCTGCTGTTAATGGGTATTGTTCTTGGGGTGCAATGAAGTGCATGAGAACCTTACGGGCGCGGCTGCGCAGCATGATACACAGGCACACGTATAAAAACGAGGGCGAAAAACTGGACATTGTATCATAAGGATTTCCAGGGACGACGACGATATCCCAGAGTGGGTTGCTGCTGTTGTTCCTGTCGCCCGCCCCTCTCCTGTTCTCCCTGTTGCTCTCCTTCTTCCCGTTCCCGCAGCTTCTATTTCCACTGTCGCGCGTAGACTATCATACTTGTGCTAATAGCTCTGTACGGGTACGTGAAGTGAGTGTGAACCCACCACAGTTCACAGTTCTCCCGTGAATCTACAGAAGCCCCCAAAGCTAGCTACCAGCTGCTTGACCCTCCACCCTCCTACCTCTTCTCCCTTCTATCATACATACCCAGTCTCGCTCGCTGCTCGGTCTGGCCATCCATCCATCCCTCCCTCCCCATCCATACAGGCAAGGAATACCCCACCGGTACCACACCCTGCACAACTTTCTTCTGCGCATCCGAGAAAGTGAAAGGGAACTGGTGCTGCTGGACTTGACTTGCCCTTCCTTCTTCCTTTCGCTTGCTCGTGCTGCTTTGCCTCCACGCCCCTCTCCCTGTTCCTCACCTCCACCATCTCGCTCACACACACTCACACACGCTCACACTCACACTCGCACACGCTCACACACTCACACTCACACTCACACTCACACTCACACTCACACACACACACTACACTCTCTTTTTCTTTCAAACCCTTCCCTCCCCCTCCCCCCTTCGTGTGTAAACGACCATCCTACTACTACTAGCGGTAGTCTACCCCTTCCATCACTCCAACAACCCAACCCGCCCCGTAACGTTTTAACGACCCGTTGCCCACTGCCCGCCCCTTCACCATCACCGTCACCCATACTCACGTCTCCTCCCTGCTTTGACGACAGCTACCCTTCATCCTGACTAACCTTAACCGCTTCCCGCCCACCGCTATAGGAAGAATCCGTCTCCATATCCGTTGTCCACCGCCACACGCGACTCCCTTCCGTCATCCACTTCAACCCTTCCACTCGTTTCACCAACATACTTCCCAGTTCACGCTTCATCCAAGCTTTTATCCATTCTCCTTCGGTCGTCTGTTTACCTGGGCGCGATAAACAGCCGATACAGCCACTTCCGCTTAAACTTTTTTTTTTACGCCTACGTTGGAAATTGCCATTTGGTTCTGTCTATTGGGAGGGGAATATTACGGCTATTTGGATTTGTTACGAGAAGGATTGGTAGTAGGAACTGGGTGGAGTTGATTGTAAAGGGATTGGGGGGGAATTAGTTTTCAAGGGGGGTGTTATCGGTATAGGGGATCGGAATCAGTTGCAGAGAGATAGGGAAGAAAAAGGGAGGAACGGGAGCATACTCTTTTTTTTGTGAAGAGAGGGAGAAAGCTGAGAGGGGAAAAGGGATTTTTTTTTTTTTTTTTTTTTTCTTCCTCTCTTTTCTCTACGGAAAAGTGGGGACTACTTTTCGCTTCCGTTGTGAAGAGCCTCAGGCAAGAAGTTTAAAATTTCGGACGGTCGACTTACTCGCTCACTCGCTCACATACGCCATCATTTCTGTGCTTGGAAGGGAGGACAAAAGGGAAGGGATATATCAACTAGAAGTAGAAAGGGAAAGAGAGGATAAAACACCAATCTCGTGAGTTTAGTGACTTTTTTTCCGTTTGATTATTCATTTTGTGTTTATTTATTTTTTTCTTTCCTTTTCCTCCCCTTCTCTTCTTGGGTTACCTGGGGCTTCGAGGCGGTGGGGGAGAGGACAAAGGACACGCAGAGGGAGAAGAAGATGGGGGAAAAAAAGGGCTCGACATCATCGCCCATCGAGCAAAACATCTCCTGGCAACGATCCTCGATCGACAGACCCACCACTTCTCCCTTCCAGGAATCTCCCAAGCTCTTACTGTTCTTGCTCTTCCCTTTCCACCTTGGGCATAATCCATCACGCATAAACCCATCCACTCATCCGCCCATCCACTTATTGCTATTCGACTAACCATAATTCAAGGTTTGGTTCAATAGAAATCTCCGATCATTCACTTCCACCCCCCAACCTACCACAACAATAAAGACTTTTCCACGCCAACCACCCCTGACCCTCTCCCCTGTTTTCGCTCTTTGCCCGACTTTCCAAACTTGAAACATCTTTGTTGTTCTCGACGTTGAAAGTCCCGACTTTCACCGTCCCCCTCATCCGCCAAAATCAGTTCAACACCTTCTCACACTCCTCCCCCAACGCCATCGTCGCGTATGACAACCCTCTACCCTCATCAATACCACCACCCACCCACGCCTGTTCTGGATCAACCCACACCTCAATCGACTCCCCCTTTCTACATGTCCCCCAACCATGCACCCTCCAATAATTATTCCTCCGACAAGTACAACCATCATCACCCTTCAGGTCCCTCGCCTCCTAATTCTTCGATGACCTCGTCCTTCTCCGGGGGCTCGCGCTCCCTCCATCCAACCAACACCATACCGACTCCCGCTAGCTCCGCCGCGAACACCGTTCCCGCGACTTTTGAGGACAACGAAGTTGACGTGATGATGGATGAGGGAAGCGACACCGGATCGAACAAGAGGCGCCGAACTAGTAGCAGTTCTTACGACCGTGCATCACAGACAATGCCCCCCGCTCTGCGACACCGAGGGAACCTAGCCGACGACATTCCCCCCCCAATACCCACTGAGCAGGAACTACTTTCCCAGCCGGATGTTTCGCCTTACTATTTAGTTTGCTCAAATCGTTTGTTCCCCTTCCCCCTCCACCCCCCCTCTTGCCGTTTCCTCGGCCCCTTACGGTAAGTTTTGTTTGTGCGCTTGAACACTGGGATTGACGCGCAACAGCCCGACAGCCCTCATACCCTGATCTTACAGATAACCTCCTCGCTTTGTACGGTCTCCGCGATATTGCCAACTCAGTAGCGCGAAAGAATCATATAACCGGGGCGAAAAATAAAATCCGAAAAAGTTATAAGGGTTTCACCAGCGATCTGCCCGGTAGGAATGTAGTCGCAACAAGAGCTTCCCAGACAGAAGTAGAACCTGGAGGAGAGGCGGGGGGCGGTGGAGGTGATTATTTTGCCACTCTGTTGCAGTTTCCAGACGAGGAATGGCGCAACTTGCAGGTTATTGGGAAGGAGATTTCCAAGGGTATCGACATGGGGAAGCTGAGGAAAGGATTGTCCATGGGGAGAGGAGATATCCCGGGGGTGCGTTGAGTTCAAAATTGCTATAATGGCATGAAATTCCAAGGGGAAAGGGAAAAGGTTACTGATGCTCTGGTACAGTTTGATTCTTCCATCCTCGGACTCGATGAGGAATCTCGGGGGAGAAAAACTCCGCATGTGGGCTCCACAACTCCTGCCGTTGGCGCTGCTGTAGGCACTCCTGGGCATGCCAATGGTTCGACACCTGGGGGACCATCCCCTGCCGGTGATGACGGTCGACCCAAGCGCGGGAAGCGAAGACGGAACGACGGCGGGGACGATGATAATGGTATTAACGGCAGCATTGGAGGTGTGGCAGGTGGTGGAGGTGGAGGAAACCATGGTCAGGGGCCTGGAGTAGGGCCTGGAGCGATTGTTGAGGGCACAGCATGGGATGGGGAAAAGCGGAAAAAGAAGCGGAAGAAGGTTAATACCCTCTTGAACATATAAAGTGTTTCCTTTGATCCTTCTCTTTTTCCTTTTCACTCTTCCACAGTTTTAGACAGAAAACAGATACTCGAACCTTAGTCGCGAAATATTATACCCCGTTATTTCCACTGTGCCACGCGCTCTTCTTCCCTGCTTGCCTGCATCCACATAGCCTTTGCCTTGTGTCTCCCCAACTTCTCCCAAGTTTTTCTTCGCAAAGTCAGCTGACGATCGACCAATTCCTGGTCCTTTTTACACAGAATTCAGACATGAATTCATCTGGGCCTGCAGCAGCCGGGAACATGATTCCCCGCCACGTACAAGGAGGGATAGCGGTGCACGGCGGGTACGGCCGGTGACCACTTACCGGTGCTGTTATGTGCCGAGCGTTATGAGTTGACGCCCAGCATAACGACGACGACGGGGGTTATTATATATATACGTATATACGTTCAGTACCGAGTCACCGCCCCTTTTTACATATCTACCTGCTCACCTTGCTACCTACTACCTACCTACCTACCCACCTATTGTCCCGGCGGATCATTATAGTTGATTCGTGCGCATACATGTATCCACTGGTCGGACCGGATTGGATTGGACCGGATTTCTTTTTCTTTTTTGTCACTGTATTTTCTTCGCCCTAGATTGGGTTCACTTTTTATATATCTCCCCCTCCCTCCTTAGGTGGGCAAAGAGGGGAAGGGGATCGGTTATTAGTGCCTACCTGTCTACGTACCCATGTCACATTTACTTGCTAACTGGCTTTCCACGCTGTTGTTTCGCTCCCTTGCTTTGTCTACCGAATTATGTTTTACCTTCCTTCCTTCCTCCCACTCCCTTGATTCTTGTGTGTGGTTTGGGGGCCATTAGTCGATAACTCCTGCATTCTTCGGAGCTTCAAAATTAGTTTCTCATTTCTCGCTCCTCTTCCTTTTTTTGTCCTTTTTTGGTGGGGATTTTCTTACTGCTACCACTATTACCTTACTACCTACTTACCTTCCTCACCCCTATCGCATTATCATAGCTAAACTCGCCCCTCCACCTGCCCTCCCGTCCACCTAGAAAATCCTTGTCTGGGAAGGATGAGGAAAAGAAAGAGCATAATAGTGGCCGTACGATATCACGACTGCGGTACGATTACGAATCCGTGTACATAGCTTATTTCCAATCATCCCCCCTACTTGATACTTCCTACTGCTTCCATTTCCGCTTATCATAGTTGTCCCTTTACCATCCTGTTTTGTCTTCTGTTTTTGTCCGCTCTTCTATTTTATTTCTTATTTTTTTTTTTTTTGCTTATTTGTTGGAGTTGTGTTCTGGTTTGGGTTGGATGGGTGGGTGGATGGAGGAGGAAGGAAAAGTATTATTGTACATCACGTAGAAGTTAGCTTCTGGGGTGGGGGGGAATTAAAGTTGTTGAGTGAAGTTGAGGGTTTCCTACTGTGTGAATTGAAGGTGTTTGGTAGTGGGCATGGGGTATCACTCGTTTGTTTATTGTACTTTGGGGCGATTGGCGGTTCTAGTGGTGGAGGGGTTCGGTTGTATGTCTGAAAGGGTGGGGCCAGGTGAGTTGATTGTTTGGCTTGTCATGGGATATGGCTCATGTAGGGAGGCACCGATACTTGATGTCAGTGTCGATGGTGATAATATGCGGGCGGGCCCAGTGCGAGTAGAGATGAGCAGGCTTAATACTGCGACCGCTCAAGCCAAGCACATGAAAAGTAAAATAGAAAGTCTCCCAAGAGGGCATTATATATAATAATAATATTATGTATATATTTTTCTTACCAACCCCCCTCCCTCAGATCGCTACACTGCACTGCACTGCACTGCACCACTGCAACCCCATATCAAGCACTAAAGAACAGCCAGCAAAACCCAACCCAACTCCCCACGACCCCAACCGCAGAATAGGAACTATTAAACATCAAGGGCAAGAACTCGTACCGGTCCCCAAACAAAACCTTATGAGCAAGGCTAGTGTAGGCAATCAATGGAATTGCGACAATTATGAAAACCATCGTGAACCTATCCAGCAAGAACCTCCTAGTGTTGACCGCAACGGGAGATACGAGGGCGTCGAAGGCAGTGAGGAAGACCACGAGCCAGGAAATTGTATACACTGTCTTGATCAGGAACTCGGGTGCAGTAAAGAGTAGGGGGAAAAGGGAGACGTGGCCAGCTACGGCTAGTGGTCTAAATGCACCGAGGTAGCGGCGGTCCTTTAGGGCGAGGAGGGAAAAGGGGATCACCACGAGGAGGATGGCCTTCTCGTGTACGTGCCAGCCAAAAAGGAAAGAGGCATAGCCACAGAGGGTTATGGCACCGAGGAAGGTTTCGTAGGTGGGATTTGTCCAGAGTTTTATGAGGGAGAGGATTTGGAAGAATAGAGTTAAGAGGAAGGTCGTTCTGGGTGTGATCTCTGGTAGGACGGCGAAGGTGGTGTCGCCGACGAGGCCGCGGGTTACGCTGGTAAGGGCTTCCTGGTTTATGGGGAGGTCGAGACGGGGGGCGACTGTGAGGGCGGTTTTTTTAGCAGGAAAGCAGAGAAGAGGATGCGAGTGCGTGAGTACCTATTATTAGAACTCTGTCTATGAAGGAGTATATCGCCCAGATGTTTGGCGCCCAGTATGCGTGGCAAAGACCTCTACTGAACGGGAATAATCGGGATAGTAGCTGTGGTATCTGCCCCCAATACAGGAATGGTCCGAACGCCGCGGCAATGATTCCTACGATTCCTACACCTAGCTTTATAACGTTCGCGAGCCGGATTTGAAAGACGTTGTCGCCGAGACAGTACGTTCGGAGCAAGAAGACAAAGTAGGCTGGAGCTAGGTAGAGGTATATGTGCTTGAAGCAGAGCAACACAGCGAAGAGAAAGCCAGAGTATAAGCGGGTAGAGGGTGACCGGGCGAGGGTTATGCTGAGGATTAAGACCCCATATAGGAAGCCATTGTATTGGAAGTGAATGTGGTCAACTATTAAGAAGCCGGGTGAGAGGAATATGGATAGAGCTACAGCATGGGCGGGGCGCTTAGAGGATTCGGGGCTCGTATTTATGAATCTTCGTCATCATCAGCATTACTCGAATTTGAGAGGGCAAAGGGGGAGGTGCTTTTGTAGTGCATAAAGAAGCAATAATTCCGTAAACATTACGGACGATCGTTGAAAGTATACTGTCTGAACGGAATCATATCCTAAATTCCTCACATCCAGCATTGCCGGATCAAAGAATCGAGCAACCTGACCGAGTATCCATTCGAATACTGCGAAAAAAGGTGGATAGTCTAATGTCCACTCTGAGGTTTTCTGTCCCTCTCCTCTCTACAATCAGCTCCCACTCCCCAAGCCTATTCACAACTTGGAAGGCAACCAAAACCCATACCTCATAGTACCACTCCTTCACTGGCAACGAATGGGTAATCGCTAGCCAATTCCTGTGAACTTCGAAATCCGTAGACTTACTGCCCATCATCGCAATTAGCCATACCGGCCACACACAAACAGTGAAAGATAGATAGATAAAGGAAAACAGACTATGCGGGAAAGAGTAGGAGCTTAAAAGCCGTTGCGGCGATAGCACATTCGCGAAGTGAAGGGTGAAATTTATCCATTGTCTGACATTGAAGGTGATGTTTGCGAGGGGGGAGAGTGCCTGGCTTGGAGGGGACTATCAGGTTTGTAGGGATTGTTTCGGGTCGATGTGATGTACTCGGGTATTGCAATAATCTACTATTTCTAGTTGTAGTTTCTACCAATTTATGGACAACGTGATGCTTTTGCGTGTGAAGCATGTTACCCGGCCTTCAAATCATTACTTGCTCAATTTAGTGGTGATGAAAAGTTCGCATATAAGCAGTAATCAGAAGCACACCCTTTTTTCTCACACAGAAGGAATTTTGAAAAAGTTTGTCGTCTGTTCTTGCCAAAAAGTTCTCTCTCAACAGAGCCCTGCCTCTTGAAATTTCTCTACGAAAGTCAACTCAAATCGCCTTCCTTTCTCCCTTCCGCATACACCATACCACTAATTAAATTCACAACACCTCTTCTCCTCAATTCCTGTTCCTCCCCTCGCTCCTCCATCCACCCCTGCAATGGTATGGTCATCCACAGAGACTAGCACATTGGCCCTCGCTGGGCACACCAACATCAGCAGACATGCTGGCATCAGTGCTACTGTCAGCGGCGCAATGAACGGGCCGCGACACGCTGTGGACAGCTCGAGAGCGGCAGTTGTTAGGGGTGGTGACCTCCGTGATATTGAGATAGGCGATCTTTCCTCAGGAGAAGAGTCAGCGGCGGAGAAGGAAACCGACCGAGAAGGCGATGGCATTGGTGATGGGGTGGAACAGACGTTCGGAGAAAAGGCTCAGGCTTTGAAAGTCTCTGAAGCTTCTAAAGCCCCGAGATCGAAAGCCACCCGAGAGATTACCAATGCGGCCGTTAAAGCGCCGGCCACTGGATCCCTGACCACTGTTCTCACCCAGGCCCTCCAAACTGAGGATAACAGCCTTTTGGAGTCCTGCCTACATTCTACCGATGACGAAGCTATATTAGCAACCATTCGCCGCCTAAACTCCTCTTTAGCCGTCATCCTTCTCAAGCGCCTGGCCGAACGCATTGCTAGGCATCCTGGGCGTGCCAGACCGCTCGGTACTTGGGTTAAGTGGATCGCAGTCGCACATGGAGGGTATTTAGTCACTTTACCGGATCTGGTGAGCCAGATTTCCGAACTCCACCAGATTGTTTCAGCCCGCGCCAGCAGTATGCCCAAACTGTTGTCTTTACAAGGAAGACTCGAGATGCTTTCCGCCCAAATGCAATTCAGGTCTAGCCCGGCAGGCGCATCAAAGCAAGACGAAGACAACAAAGTTCTCTACATGGAGGGTACCGGGGACAGCGACAGTGAGAGCGAGTCTGATGACGAGCCCGAGAATGTTGGACTTGAGGGCTTCCATATTGAGGATGCAAGCTTTATTAATGCCGAGGGGTCTACCTGCGATGATGATAGTGCTAATGGCTCCGAAACAAGCGACTCGGACGCCGAGCTCTCTGATGCTGAAGGATACGTTGATTCCGGTGACGACGGCCATGGTGACAGTGAATTCCCCAATGGCTATCGCACGAGCGATTTCCTAGATACCGAAGCTATTGAATCTTCGGCCCGTGAGGAACCAGATGAGGAAGAACCTGCAGATCTAGACTCTGAGGTGGATAACGGCGAGAGCCGGGATGATAAGGGTAGCGATTATGGCTCGGAAGATGACCAAAGGATTGTCAAGAGGATCAGAAGGTCCAAGAAGGCATCCCGTTAGAGGGTGCTCAGGTGTAGGGGAGTTATTCTTGCTCCTTTTCTCTCTTCTCGTAATCACCCTTTCCCTTTCCTTTTTTTTTTTCTTTTCGTTTTTTTGTTCTTTAACCCTTCATGTTTTCTGCTGCCTCTGCGTTCTTATATCATTGTACATGACAACTTAGATTCTAGATTGGTAGAGGAGAGATGGGAGAAGGCTGAAAAGGTTATTACCACCACCTAAAAAAAACTTGCAATGGCGAGTGGTTTCAATTTCTTTTTGATTCCAATTCTATCCTTTCCGTTTCTATCTGTTAACGTAGGTTGATGTTATATGATAATCTGTGTGGGTGTTTATTATTATTATTCCGCATTTTTTCTTCTTTCCTTTCTAAAAAGTTCCTGTACAGTACAGTGCTTCTCTCCTCTATGCGCTTTGTATCATATCGTAGAACTCCACAAAGTATTTATGCCCGAGGAGCTATGATATTACTATAATATAATGCAAGTATCATGCCCAGCCTCACTTGGCCCAATGTAACATTTTCCCCTCGCCCAATCTGAAGTGTACTGGTAGTCTACCCCCCATCCATCCATCCATCCACCCACTCGAGCATCTACCCATACCTCCAGCCATCTATCCACTCATTGGTCACCGCTGCCGCTTCTGTAACCATCCGTTGGTCGTACAGGACCCAGCACGATACCTTACCGTATCCTATGGGTAGCGGTACATACATTCTAGATAAGGCGTCAACACCTAGCCCGCATCCATCGACCAAAGGGCTGGATGAGATGATATCATGAATGGATGGATGGATGGAATGCCTTGCATGCGTGCGGTAAGTGCAGTTTAATGTTTTACATTTTGGCGAAACAGAAGGAGGGAGGGTAATGTTATTATTTTTCGTACGTGCGAGTAAGGGAGTCCTGGGAGGAAGAAGGGATAGACAGAAGGCGGGTGGTAGAGATTTGTGGACCAGAAAGGTGTCGGTACGAGTACCGGTATACCGGCAGTGCACCAGTGCTCGAGCAGACAAATGGGATGAGGATCTTGGATGTGCTAGATTATGAGATACCTAGTATTTCTTCATCTCGGAAACTCTGTACTCCATTATTCCCCTCTGCTTTGCTACCGTATGTATTATATAGATAGCGATCTATACTCGTGTACTGTAGTGTACTGTACGAGTATGATACTGTGCCGTACTTTACAGTACGAGTAGACTACAGTACAGCAATACATTCTCGATCAAGGCGCACAACAATTACAGTACACGTACAACGCAATACAGTAACGGTGCAACAATGCAAGAGTCTACCATTGGAATCCCCGTTTATGTAGATTGGTTATCGTAGCCTCCCTCCCCAGCATCGTACAGCACCGCACCGCACTCTATGCGGAAGGCATTAGGAAAAGGCAAAAAGAGAAAGGAAAGAAGGAAGGAAAGAAATGCCAGAAGGAAGAGAGAAGTATGGATGTTGTGCATATTCGCGCACCAATGGCGCAGAAATTTCAACCGCTACGAGTCGGTGCCGCAGAATGGGTCCTAATCCCCTTTGTTCCTTCGTCATTTTACAAGCACCGGTGCTGTGGAGCAGGAAGGAAAAAAAAAAAAGAGATGGGAAAAAAAGATGAAAAATAAAGATAATAAAAATATTCATCCAAGATGAGGAGAAGGGGGAGGATGAGGGGGAGAATTGTAAATGAGGGCAAGCGGGATAGGGTATGATGACCCCCCGGGTTCAACGCGGAGTACTGTACTCGAGTACAGTGTTCGAAGGTCATTCCAACACTGGGCAGCATGCATAAAGTTAGAGTATTGTGAAATTCACTCGTATTCTGTTTGTCTTTGAGAATTTCACTCGACTAGAGAAAGCTAGTCTTCCTTTCTGATCGGGGTTGGGGTTTGAGCTGGAGTGAGGGACAGAAGGAAAAAAAAAGTGGGAAATAAATTTGGTTGGTCGAGGACTTTCAAAGAGACGCTGCTCTCTTGTTAATTTAACTTCGCTACCCCTGCCGGTATTGGACTCAAACCCACTACAGTTACGGGTACCACTACCACCACTACCAACCACCACCACCACCGCTTGTGATCCCCTTCAATCGATAAGTCAACCAACCGATCCCCTAACCGGCGATCACCATGACAAACGCAAAATCTAAGAAAAAGAAGGTCGACGAGAAGGAGAGTAATGCTCCCCCTTCTTCCTCCGCTCTGATCATTTGTCGGAACAAGTACGTACGAAGGACGTTTGCTGCGCTCCGTCAATCCCGTCCACCCCTTCCCCAAATTTTTGGAGGGGGGGGGAATGAGGAAAAAAAAAAAGACAAACAGACAAACACGGAGGAGAGGGGTTTGTTAAAACAATTATTCTCCTCCGCCTTTGTCTGGAAGTCTTTCCCCTTCAAAGCGAAGGTTGCTGACTTTACTCAGGCATTGGCGGTACATCTCCTCGTTCCACGGCCCATGGCTCCAATTGCCCCCGGAAGTGCTCGAGTCCCTCGCTCACAGCAATTACCAGGCCCCGCGCCCGCGGCCCATCGACCCAGCCGTGCTCTACGATCTCGTCAAGATCCGCAGGCTGATCGACGACGCGACGAACCTCGCAGTCCGAGCCGCCTCCGGGATTGCCTCCTCAACGGTGCTCAAAGATGGCGGCTTACTCGGCGGGAGTGCCGCGGGGGTGCTAGGGCTGGGTATAGTTGGAGGGGGCCCCGCACCCCGACTCTCTAGGGAGCGCAAACATCGCATGCGCGAACTTGCGACCCAGAAGCTCGCGAAGGCCTACAAGCTCGATGAGATCGCTGCTTCAGTGGCGACGATGCAGAGTGCGAGTTCCCTGGAGGAGGTTGCGAATCTGGTGCTTTCTAGGAACCCTAACGACCCGGATGCGAAGTATGTGCACTTTTTTCATGAGAAGATTCCTAGCCGGATGTTGGCCAAGTGCACGAGTTTGAAGCCGCTGGATGACGTTATCAGTGAGAGACCGGCCGAGGGTGCGCCGTTGAGGACTAGGGCTGTCACGAAGGGCTTTAAAGATGACTTTATTGGTGCGGCACAGGACTTGACACATGCGCTGAATATCTCGAGGCCCCGGAGCCTGCATGACCTTGGGATGGAGGTGGCTACTCGGGGCGCCGGTAGCAGTGGTGGTGGTGGTAGCAATGGCACCCCTAGGAGGACGGAAGAGGAGGACCAACCTTCTAGTTTGGAAGCGCAATTACTTTTCCATCGCGCCTCGACTTACTTGACGATTGCTTGCCAGAATATCGAAGCCACCCTGATTCCTAAGGCTAATGCCTCGGCAGTACCGGAGGAGGCCGCTCAGGCTGAAGCCCTCAAGCGAGAGGCTGCTAAGAAAGCTGTTAGGACTAACGCTAAGCGAGCTCTGAGGGACTACATCAAGTTCTTGTCTACTTTTGATTACACTCCAGGATTACCTCCGGAGACTACAGAAGAATTTATGAGGAGTGTAGAGCGGGAAGTCAGCAAGGCCTCTGACCTCAACCTTGGAAACACCCGGAGCGACACTAAGAAATTCTTAGAAATCCTCTACAGGCAAACAGGAAACGGAGGTCACCAGCCGCACACCCACCACCACCACACCAACATGAACAACCCTCTCCCACCCACTCTCCTCCCTCAACTTCCCGTCTACCAAGTCTCTGCCCTCTTCACATCCCCCCAACCCTCCACCCTCCCTCCATACCCCTCCGCTTCACTCATAACCACTAACGGCTCAAGCCGCACCTCAACCCCAAACAGCACCCCTAGAACCTCTACCTCCTCAACCTTAACCGCCGCGGCCACGGCCCTACTAGCCGATGGCGGTGAGGCAATAACCTACCATCCCCTCCTAACCGACGCTCTGCACTCCCTCATCCTCTGTCATGTCCTGATTCAAACCCCGACAAAGGAAATCCTCCGGCATGCTCACATGGTTGCCCGACTGGCACGCATTTGCGACGGCTATCCCATATTCCTGTCCCCCCGCTCCCCGGCTCGTGCAGATTGGATCGAAGTGCTTCGCAGGACGAATAATTTCGTTGGGCTGGAGAGTACCTGGGAGGCTCTTTGTTCTCCCGCACCGCTGCCGGGATCCCCCCCGTCTCCAATTGGAGATGGCGATGTTAGCCTAGAGCTGGAGAGGGCTGCGGCTGCGCTGGTGGGGGGTGGGAGGGTCATGCATCAGCACGCACCGCCGGTGCAGCCGAAGAGGTGGGCACAGGAAGACGGTGGGAAGGAGTACCCTATTAGCACCGATCGGGCGGCCGTGGTTAGTCGCTGGGTTAGGGAGGGGGTGAAAAGGGAGAGGGAGAGACTTGCGGTGGCAGCGTTGGCGAAGGATTCCGCGCACGTGAATAGCAGTGGTACTGGGAGCCCGGTGACGCCGACGACGCCGATGGTGGAAGGGGTGGAGGAATTGCAGGTTTAGCGGGCGGGGCTTTTTTCTTCTTCCCCCCCCCCCTCAGAGAACAGGGTAGCAAGAGAGGAAATTGGGTTGAAGTTCCCACAGACATAGCGGGGTTCTCTGTTTGATCTTCTACTTCTCATGGGTAACGCGATATAGTTGGAAAATTTTTTTTTTTACGTGCTGCCGCGTTTGATAAGATGGGGCGGGGGGGAAGAGGGGGGTTGTTGGGGCGTTATCTGTAGGATCCTGTATATGGCGCGAGTGATGTCTTGTGAATATTCTTCATTGCATGCATGCAGAAACTGGCGGTAGGTATGATAGGTGTTCACCGATCGCAGTTTGGTGGGTTGGATGGTTCGCGTTTGCTACATATTTAGAGCTATTCTAGAAAAAAGCGGATAATAATAGGGATCACGTTTCATAACTCGAGTACAAGTCGCTCGACAAAAGTCTTGGCGAAATGGGGGGGACCCACTTTTCTGGAGTGTGCGGCGGGATTGCGTAATTGGTGGTCTGTGTGGGGAGGCAAAGAGACACAAGATTTTGTCCAGCACCGGTAAATTAACTTGTGCTCGAGTACCGGTATTAAGTTATGAGTATGATACCGGCACCACAAGTGATCCCTTTGTACTATAATACGTTTTCTAGCACTCAGATCCCTAACCCCCCCGTCAAGGCGTAAGTAGGGCCTACCGCCGTACGTAGATGAGGGAACTCGCTTTCTCCATTGTATGATATACCGGTATCATAGTTACGGTTTCAATTTGGTGAGGTCACAACTACTACGGTACTATCCTTGGTATCCTACGAGTAGAGCACCAGCTCGACACCATTATATTAGAAGTCAAGTGTCTGCCAACCAGGAGCATCACTTACCAACTAAAAGTGAGTGGAATTCGGGACAAGAACAGCGCTTAATCTACTCGAGCAGGTTACAGGATCTACGAGGGAATCGCGTACGGTAGCATAGCGCTGGGCAACAAAAGGATCCACTACTCCAGTGGACTGCTTGTACTCGTACTACATGATAGCCCTAGGCAGTATCACGAAACATCGATTGCTATCATACAATCTCCAATACCGGTAAGTTAGGCGCGGAAAAACCACCAAACACCGAGTAAAACCCAGCTAAAAAACACAGGTCTTTCCCAGAGGACTCGGGCGCGTGCTGTAGTCTGCTGTACTTGTACTGTACTCATCGCTAAGACGTCGCTTCTCTACAGTACTGTGCTCTCTACCATCAAGAGCACAAAAAAGGCTACAAGGCCGGGGGGGATGATTGTCTCAAGCGGGTAAACTGAAATTATTCCTCCCATTTCTCAAGTTCTAACGCGAAGGCATGTATTGGTATCCCAACTTTCTGGTATGAGAGCGTCTTCATCCTTCGAATCGCCAATACTCTTGTCTTTCGAGTTTTACTTTTCCACCAAACTGTTGTGGCTTAGTATTTATTCCATTAGATGCAGTCGCACCACTGCCCACAGAAACCTGCTATGGGACCTGTTGTGACCGTATATATAATATCGGTATCAGATCCTGGATCGCTGTTGGGTAAATTACGCTACATTTCGGTGTGACTGGTGTGAATGCTCGTACCAGGTCGTGGATGGAGCGTGAGACTTGCTCCCACCGAAAATTCTTATCTGGATGATCCGTGATAGGGGAGCGTGGACACCGATATAACAGTCCATAATTCACATCCACCACGAGCGATGCCGGGAAAAAGTTGTGAGGCGGCAGCACACTGGGTCAATGTGTAATTTGTGGAGTGGAGCGAGATCTTTTGTGATCGATATAGTCGCGGGTGCTATCGTAGTGCAGGGTAGAGGTGTTGGGTCCATGTTTTATTTTTCTCGAATAGCAGACAGCGGATGGGCGGATTGGGTCGAACGAGTGGTCGAGGAGGCGGTTTGCGGAAATCGTCTTGATCAGTAGGCTTGACCTCGTCCGGCATTGTTGGAGGTGCCGAGTGGCACCTGGTCTATGTTCTTTCGTTCTGTCACAGGATTTATTTGGTTAGTCACCGGTGGGTTAGTCACTGGCAATAGCTTTGCTGTAATGTACTGTACGATCTTGGCGACAAAATTCGTGGCCCCCTTCCCTCCAATGCCAAGCATCGCACATTCCAACCACCATGACAGAGCCCCCTACAACACCGGTCAAAACAGCACCTGGAGGTGAATGGACTACACCAGTCCGTATGAGAGTTCTTATGCTTTGTGAGTCTGGAATGTCAAAGCATGAAGTTAAGCGACACACCGGTGTACCGCTACCGACAATTCGGTGGTGGGTTAAAAACCCACATCAGCGCAGGCCTCATACTCAATCTGGTCGGCCACGCAGCCTCACAAAGCATGATATCAACCATTTGATATATGTGCTCAGACGGAACTGGGAGGGGAGGAGACTTTGCTGGGCGAAATTGGGACAACAGGCAGGATTGTCGGTATCTGGACGTACAGTCCAGCGTGCGCTTGAGTTGGAAGGCTATACACGCTGTAAGGCTTGTAAGAAGCCATTTATCGGTCGGGAAGCTCAGAAGGAGAGACTCAGTTATGCGACCAAACATGCTGATAAGCCAAAGGCATGGTGGTGGCAACATATCTATTCTGACGAGTCAACCTTTGATACCTCTCGCCGAGGTTCTGATTGGGTCACCAGACTCCCTACTGAACGCTACCATAAGATTGTATCCAATTTTCCTTTACTAGTGGCCGGGCATCGGTAGCCATATGGGGTGCAATAAGCCATAATTGGAAGTCGCCTTTGGTCTTTCTTCAAGGGACAGGCAAGCGTGGAATCACGATGAAAGACTACTTGGAACAAACTCTTCAGCCAATCATGGGTCCTGCATTTAGTGGTTCGGTAGAGGGCTATTCTGTTACTCCAGAAGCAGAGTTCGTTGAAGATCAGGCACCGTGGCATGGGACGAAACAGGGTCTTGTAGAGCCCAAGAAGGAGTTAGGCATTCCGCTACACGAATGACATTCCGCTTCACCGGACCTCAATCTGATAGAGAACATATGGAGGATCCTCAAGCAGCGCATCAAGGCACGAAGACACTTTCCTGGAACCTATCGTGAGATGCGTAACACAATTCAGGAGGAATGGGATCGACTGAAACCATCAGAGTGGAATCAATTGATTGATACCATGCCGGATAGGTTGAAACAATGTAGGGAGCGGAGAGGCATGCAAACAAAATTTTAATTTTCTTTACTATGTAATGTATTACATACTATATAATGGTATTCAAATTCTCTGTTTTTCTATTCTATTATTGTGATCGTTCATATGTCGTTGGTGGTGAGTGGCCACGAATTTTGTCGCCAAGATCGTACAGTGATACGCCACAGAACCCATACATTTCTGCGCACAACTTTTGGGTATGCCAACCATTCATATATATGTCTAGTAGGCAATCAAGTATCTACCTCTCACGCTACCCCGAAGGCTGTGGCGCAACTACAGCTATAGTACCATATTGTGCCCTCTTCAATTCCTCATTCTCGCCATTCTCCGCGTTCTTCTTCTCACCTCGGGCACTCTCCCCACCGCCGCCGCCCTCATCACCTAATCCCCGGCGCAGCTTCCACAACCCCCATCAACGTTCGCATCACTGTGCTCGCCTTCATCAATGCTGCCCGGCCTCTTTCGATTTTGAAAAGCTCTGTCGCAGGCACGAGCTGATGTTGCTCACTTGTTATGTTGAGTGGTCGGGCGCCGCTCCTCTCTCCTTCAGTCGGCAACGGCACAGGTACTGTACCATACACAAGCTGACTCGGATTGCCGCCCGGTGAGCCTCCCACTTCTATCACTCTTAAGCTAAGCAATGCAAGTGAGCTATTTTAAATGGAAGGGACATCTCTGGCTCAAGGATGCCAGGATCTGGAAATCGTATTAAAATCAGGACCAATGCATCCTGGGCGATGTGCTTAGGGGTCGTTGGCTCGTGAGGAGGATTCGGGAGTGCGCTCTCCAGTGATATACAGAGAAATAATGTATGTAACATCCCTCATTTGAAAATTAGAAGTGCGTTATTGTCGCCACAGACCTTTTAACTATTTATTTGCTTGTGACCTCCCCCCCGCCCCCTATCCGCCTAGCATATATCTCGAGTACATTTCCACTAATACTTGGAGTCAAAGGGTAGATATAGGTGCAACCAAGACAAGACCAATTGTAGACTCTTCTTTTTACACCTACTCGTAGAGCGATATAGTGTAGTTGACGAAGGTAAGCTGTAGAGAGCGATAAGCAATACCATCAGAGACTACGGGAAAACGCATGGTCAATAGCAGTATTAAACTCTATCGGCCCACCTGTTGCACCAACAGCTCAGGCCTTGAATGAGGAAGTACTCTATTAGGAGAGGCATCCCCAGAACAGGTAATAAGACACGAGGGGGCTATGATAGAAAGGATATCCTTTCGGTCAACTCTCAAGATAACCAGTATAAAAACTACTAACTCCCATGCCCGATCCTCCTAATCTCCCAGCGCGCGGACGCCAGGATGCTGGCATTGGGACTAGGTTTTCTCATCACTCGGGGTCTCACTCACACGGCCCCCACATCCTCAGTTCTGGGCAATTTCAGACTGGTGGTGGGTGGGTGGGTGAAAGGATTATCTGGTAAACACTCACGTTATGATTGCATCCTTTCTGTTCATCTCTCAAACGCACCGGATGATCCCTACCGTTCTTTCTGGACGTCGTGCCACAGGGGAGTACTCAACCTATTCCCAGAGCTTTGTGAGTCAGTCCAAGTGAAGTCTCAAAGCACCCTGTTACTGGGACAATCACATTCGTATTCCCCGAACCAGTTTGTGAGCGCCGCTGTGGAGTTGAGTAAGTACAGTACTGGATGTATGTGAGATTGCAACGCGCGTTTGGTATTGGGCCCCCCCGGGAGCACAGTGATTCCTCTGAAGCAATAGTTTGCCCACATTTGCATCCCCCATATGATACTCCAGTATTCCATGACTACGCCACATCCTTCACCGATCTCACTTGCGATCAGGTCCGTGATGCGGCTAGCCTACGTGGCTATCGGAAATTAGGTTCTACTAGAAAATTCCGGAAAAGGATGCCGGGGGCAAGGAATATATCATGCCCAGTGCTCCCAAGTCCCCGGCATGGTGTCTCACGCTTTGTGGTGAGAGAATGTCCGTGATTTGGAAAGACATTTAGGGGGGTGAAGGCAGCCCGCACGCTCCCCGCCCGCCCTCTAGCCCTTAGTATCCCCCGATAACCAATGTATCTTAGCCCACGAGCAAATGACTGACCAGAATGTAATTTCTGGTGATAGGCTCTTTTACCGGAAGTGCGAGAACTAGTTACAGTTCCGCATAATTTGAGAAAAGAGAAAAAACGCTCTGCTGCTACTCGGAGGATCTTTTTTTTCAGTTAAAGATTATTCGAGTG